AGTCTTTTAATACAAAAGTCATTCAGGCTGTATTAACATTGTCCCCTGGCTGCATACTGCATACTCTGGCTCATGTGGAGGCTACTGGGAGTTCCATGAGTCGTATCAAGGACAGGGAAGGCCCCATGAAATCCAGTTACTGTCAATTGTGTGAGAGCTTTAAATGGCTACACTGAAACTCATTATCAAAGAAAGGAACTATCAATTTTGTTTAATGGGTGCTGCCCAACCTTGCTTCTGCTCCCAGCCCAGAGACTCTCTGTGCACAGGGGTAATATAAAAATTAGAGCTGCACTTTTTGGGGCTCGTATTGAGCTGTTGCAGACTCCTGGCTGCAGCCTGGCCGGCTGACAGGGGCTGTGGGGGCCTGCCCTGCACCCCTGCCAAGGCAGGGCCCAAGCCTGAGCCCAGGAGTGTTCAGTCCATGTTGCCACTTACCTTAGTCCAGTCAAAGCTTTTGCTAGCGCAGGTAAGGCTGCTGAGCCAGGCTTCAGGCAAGCAGGAGCGCTCCATGGCATGGCAGATTGTCCTGAGCATCCTCACCCCCTCTGCTGCTGTCAGCAGAAAGGAGAGGAACCAGGAGCCAGCCTCAGGTTCTCCCATGCAAAACATGGTGAGGTGTCTGCTAGGGTCTTCCAGGGTCAATGGGAGGCAGCAGGAAGGGCCCAGCCTCACACAGGAGATTTCTTGGCAGACCTGAGTTCAGGAGAACCTCTCCCAGGTGAAACTGCCCATTTCCCCCTCTTTGTAGCTTGTAACCCCTCCACCTCGTCAGGACTCCAGGAGTGAGGATGCTCCTTCCCCAGGAGCTCAGGGGACATCGCTGTCATGGGGCTTGGCTGGCAGGGATTGCCCCATTGCCACTGACTTGTTTCTTCATGGACATCGTGGCAAGCAGTTGTAGGCCTACGTAATCAAAAGGCTGCAGTTGAAAATCATATTACAGGCCGTAATGAGGAATTCCCAACTTTGGAAAAAACCCTACTTTTTTTCACATTTATTACTATTTCTACTACTGCCGCAGAGTAAAGATCCTCTTTAAAGAAAAAGAACATGCCACCAGCACAATTTGATAGTGTCCTCAGGAAATTTAGGATTGTGTTTTTCTACATTAGCTGCACAGGCAAATTTGCAATAAAAACGATTTTGCTGCAGAAGCCTTCTTTTCCCATCACCACGCTGTCAGTCAGCCTATAATTTCTTGGTGTTGGACTATGCTGAAGAGCTGGCCGAATTATTCTCCCTACAACGTGTGTACCTAAAACCTCAAATGTGAGAGAAACATTTTGGATGGAAGGCAGAAGATTTCACTCTTCTTTTTTTAGGGGGAAAAAAATACATATTTCTCCTGCAACGAGATATAACCTCTGAGGAGGGTGGAAGTAGTAGTATCCCAAGTCCTCCCTTTAGCCACCAGACAGTGCTGCTTCCTCCACCCCCTCTGTTTTTGGGGTACCAGGGTGGGCCAGTGTTTGTCCCCTGTTCCTGTCCCCCTGCTGAGGCTGCCAGCAGTGTTGCAGGGACAGCAAGAGGCTGCTTGTTGATGCTGAAACTGGTCCCTAACAACAGCTCGTTTCACCAAGGGGCACAGGCGGCCATCTGATGCTGGCAGCATTGAGTGACTGCTGACCTTGTTTTTAGCATCAGCTGATATCAGCTGGAGCCCTGCCAGTTTGCACCAGTTGAAAGTCTCTCTCTTAATGGTGGTGATTATCCTGGTTTTTATAGTGGCACTGAGAAAGTTGCAGCTGCTGTGCTTCACATCCCTGACTTTAATATGAGGTGCCTGGATCTTCTGGTGTTGTCTTTAGAGGAACATGTGAGAAGAACCTCTCTCCTTCTTCTGCGTTGCTCGTTTTTTTCCCTTTTTGTTTTCTCTGAAGAGATATAGCTCAGGCACACCATGGAATGAAAACCATAAAGCTATAAATTACACCTCCGTGAGGTCCACAATATGTTACCAATTACATCTGCTTTGTTATTCGCGTCTGGGGGAAAACATACATCAAACCAACCCCACTCTGCGGGCAGGCCGGTACTGTACTAGAGGGAACACTGTGACTCTTCTTAATCAGTGGAAAAACAAACATGGTTTCGGCTCACTCACATACGATATTTGTGTCCAGGATGACAAGTTGAGCAATATCGCTGCGGTTCTCCGAGCTCGCTGCGTGCCACGTGCTGCTATGGCATTCGTGGCAACATCGTCACCTCGTGGAGGAGAGGGGAGGGAAAGCACTGAGAGGGGCAGGGAGCTGGGGAGGGTCCAAGGACCCTCCAAGGTCACAGGTTAGTGGGGGAGTGGAGGAGTTAATACAAATGGCAGCAAACACCATCAGAAATCATGTTAAAGGGGTCACGTCTGCAAAGGAGGACATGCTATGGTTTCAGCAGGGTTAGTGGGGTTTTGCATTGAGGGATGAGGGTTTCCCCATGTGTCATGATAGGGGTTTTCTTCTGTGTCTGCCCTGTCTTTGCAAATTCATCGCTGCGTTAGGGATGAAGGTGGGGGTGTTGAAGCAAACTAGGGTGATGGCTTTGCTGGTTATTTCTGTGTAGTGGTTCTGTATGGTGGTTTTTGGCTCACCACAGCACCCCTCTTGTGAAGCAATTCCTGGGCTTTGGGCTGCTGGGAATTAACTGGAAAACAGGGGTTGGGTGTTTTTAGGTGTGTTTGCTTGACCATGCTACTCAGCTTTGGAAGCATGGAGTAACGTTTGTATTGTTCTATATGGGTGTATATGTTTATGCATGCATGTGTGTGGGTGTGTATGTGTACATATGAACTCCAGAAAAGAGCAACACGGACTAGTGGGGAATGGGTTTCTTTTAGGAGAAGGAGCCGAGTGTTAGAGATTCTTAGGTCTCCACATGAAGAAGTCACCTGTGTGCACTGCGGAGTCTGTTGTGGTTTTGTCACTGAAGTATTCATTCAGCTTTTAACTTTTTAAAGTTGAAAACAAGTCAAGGTTATGTTTGTGCTTAATAATTCAGCGACGGTGCCAGCTCAGCATATTGTCTTTTTCTTCCCTCGTCATTCTTGTTTATTAAAAAGAAACACTGACGACAGATAGAAGGGTGAAGGAGGCTGTGCCTTTCTGCTTTAACTCCCACTGGGCGCTGACTCCTTCCCCAGGAATCCCCATAGATTTGTGCTGTTAACAGTATCTTTGCGCCAGCAGTACCATTCCTACCCTGGGCAGGGAAAAGCTGGCAGCAAGTCAGGACTTAGATGTCCTCTTCTATGTGGACTATGTCTTTATTTTTTGTCTAAATTTTCTGTTTCAGTGGAATATTACTCAGAAGCCTTCAGTAAGTCTGTCTCAGTGATACTTTATTTTCACTGTGGTTATGAGGTTGTGGGTCACTTTGTTTGGTGGGAGTTCTTTTGATAAAGCTATGGAAGATCATTAACTCTTCTAGAACCAAAGAAACGTGCAGTAAAATAGGTTTTTGTCTTTTCTTAAGACATAAAGTCATATTAGGACCTAGTTCTGCCACATGCTGATGTATATGTTGCTTCATTAACAGTGCCGTTCATTTCTAGGGGATCTGCTTTCCCGTGCTCGTATTGTCACTGTGAATAAGAATAGATGAACACAATTTTATGAAACCGGGAGAACTGAGAGCACACGGTGGAGCTCACGTTGTGTAACTCCCATCTCCAGTGTCCCTGAGCACAGACCAGCATTGTGCACCATTCCCACACGCAGACTTGGCAGGCAACCTGAAACATCATCTGCTGCTTCTGTCCTGGCTCCTCTACTTTGCCCGCACACCTCCGTTTTGTCACAGTCCATCATCTTCTGGTCCTGTCCTGGCTCTCTGCAGGCGAGAAGCTACACAGTGGGTTTGTGGGAATAAATGGAGGGCTTAAGTCAGATCCACCAAACTGTTTAATGTAGGATGAGCCTGAGGATTTGAGATTCGGCCTCCGTAGGCAGAATACTTGGCAGTATTTGACATCAGTTTGTCCTGAGAGCTAGAGACATTCCTGGAGACCATGGGAATAGGAGTCTTTTTAGGCAGAGGAGGTAAAAATAACATTTACATTCCTGTTATTAAAAGTGAGAAGGGGGAGAGGAAGAGGGCAGTAATCTTGGTGGTTCTTAGTGCAGTTCAATCCGAGGTAATGATTTATTTTAGGGCATAATATTTTATTTGTGTTGAATACATATTTCTGGAAGAACTTGATTTCCGTGTGTGTGTGCTGTATCTGAAGTTGATGTGCCATTTTCCCTTTCTGCCACTGAACAAATGAAAAGAGCTGGGGAAGGCATCTTGACACTGAGGTTTCACTCTGATGTTGTATTGCAGGTATGGCTTCGCATGTGCAAGTTTTCTCTCCTCACACCCTTCAGTCAAGTGCCTTCTGTAGCGCGAAGAAACGGAAAGTGGAGCCAAGTCCTAACTGGGATATGATCTACCAAAAATGTGGAATTAAGCGCAAGAGTGAGGAGATCGAGAGCACAACAGCAGCCGTCAACGCCTCCCTCCAAATCCCCAATCCGAGCATCCCTTACGAGCAGACCATCATCTTCCCAGCAAGCACGGGGCACATTGTGGTGACATCTGCCAACAGCACTTCCGGTGTGGTAGCAGTGTCTGGGCAAACACTGGGCGGGCCACACAACCTGATGCGTCGCAGCACTGTGAGCCTTCTGGACACCTACCAAAAATGTGGACTTAAGCGCAAGAGTGAGGAGATCGAGAACACAAGCAGTGTGCAGATCATTGAAGAGCATCCACCAATGATTCAGAACAATGCCAGTGGAGCCACTGTAGCCACTGCCACCACCTCCACGGCCACCTCCAAAAACAGTGGTTCCAACAGTGAAGGGGATTACCAGCTGGTGCAACACGAGGTGCTCTGTTCCATGACCAACACGTATGAAGTGTTAGAGTTTCTTGGCCGTGGAACCTTTGGACAAGTAGTCAAATGCTGGAAACGTGGCACTAATGAGATTGTGGCCATCAAGATCCTAAAGAACCATCCTTCCTATGCCCGGCAAGGCCAGATTGAAGTGAGCATTCTGGCTCGTCTGAGCACAGAAAGTGCGGATGACTACAACTTTGTCCGTGCGTACGAGTGCTTCCAGCACAAGAATCACACGTGCTTGGTCTTTGAAATGTTGGAGCAGAACCTCTATGATTTCCTGAAGCAAAACAAATTTAGTCCGTTGCCCCTTAAGTACATTCGACCAATTCTCCAGCAGGTGGCAACTGCCCTGATGAAGCTGAAAAGTTTGGGACTGATTCACGCTGATCTCAAACCGGAGAACATCATGTTGGTAGACCCAGCCCGACAGCCATATAGGGTCAAGGTCATAGACTTTGGTTCAGCCAGCCATGTGTCTAAAGCTGTGTGTTCTACCTACCTTCAATCCAGATATTACAGGTAAGACACTGGGCTCATGTAATGTTACTAAAAGTATTTTACCTATAGGAATTTTCCTCCATTTCTATAAAGGAATGAGAGTCATCCCTTAATCCTAAACTGGGGTGGTTCTTAGAATGGCTTGTTGGTGATAGGAAAAAAAAATGTTACCCTAACGTCTTGGAGTTTACTTGCATTGAAA